TGCAACAACATTACCTCTTATTTACCTAAGGGTGAAATGTACGCCTTACAAGTCACGCGGGAAGTAACATCAGTAACAAATATGGACAACAAAAGGAGAAACTAAGTTCAATTCACTATCCAGTGAATAAAGAAGTGAGATAAGAACAATAAAAAAGCACCAACCGAACCTCATTACCAAAAAGGACGAACAAAGAAAACAATGGGTTGTTCACTTCAAAAACTCTTCAACTGACCATCACTTACAATCCATCCAGAGATACCACCAACAACCACAGAACAACTGGTCAGTGGATACCAGTCCTCCAACCAATGCACAAGTCTCCGATGCACTCAGGCTACTAAAAGTGGAGAAGACAACAGGACCACGCGGAGTTCTCTTCTGAGGCACTGAAAACAGATCACGAGACGACAGCTGATATCCTCACGACACTAATGCAAAGTGTTTGCAAGGAAAGAGTGAAATGTACCTATCGATTGGATGAAAAACTACATCGTTAAATTACCAAAGAAGGGCAAATTACTCCTCTGCAAGAACTGACGCAGAATCATGCCGTTCTCCACAACAAGAGAGATATTAAGACTCACGTCATCCTAGAGAGATTAGAAGATGCACCAGATACACGGAAAGAAAATCATCAGCTGAAAAATTGCAACCCTACGAATAATCATCGAACTCAGGAGAGAACCACAGTCAAATCTCTACCTTAACTTCGTCAGCTTTCAACAGGCCTCCAACAGCCTTGACCACGAAGTGATCTAGAAACTATCACCGATGATATTCCTACTTGTTTGGGATTGGGTTATGCGGGAGACTTTCAGAAAGGGGGCAGACAGGAGTACGCTAGATCGAGGGGACTCTATAAAATGTGGACTTTGTGTGTGATCTATGTCTGTCAAATAAATTCGAAGACCTACAGGCGGGAACCGACGAACTCGCATAAGGCACTGACTCCAAATACACGACTTCTCATGAAGACTGAGAAGACGGTAGTGCAGATAACAAACCACCGACAACAAGCACCAATCACTACCAACGAAAGACATTTGAAAGACATCACTTGCTTTACCTAGCTAGAAAGTGTCTTTTCGACTACAGGCCGAGTCACGATTAAGTCAAGAACAGCCTTCATCACTCTGAAATCAGTTTAGAAATCTTCTGCATTCAACATAAACAACAAAATCCCGATTTTCAACACCGATGTTAAGTCACTCCCTCTAAATTGATCAGAAACTTGACTCACACCTGACGAAAAGCATTCCCACAACAGGACACTAAAGAACTTTATTAACAGCTGCCTTCTCTGGCTCAAGACCGAAGATCAGACGGCTGCAGAGAAAGAATTAGCAAAAACGAACTCCGGTGACGAAACAATCAACAACCCATTGGTCAACACAAATATGCAGAAAGTGGAAGTGGATCTGACACTCTGAGGAGACCATCGGTAGAGTGGGAAATGACCATTTGGGTGTTCGACAGCGGCAACGAGGAAACCGCGTGCGGAGGAAATGAAAACTTATGGGCAATATTGAGGCCGGGTAAAGGCGACTGCAGAACACACGACAAAATGGAAATGAACTATTGAAGTTCTATACAACCAAGGGAATAACAATGTAAAATTCTTTTGCTAAAATCTCTTGGTTTAAGCACATATCAAAACACTAACAACAACAACAACAAACAATTTAACACTTACAGATTTGTTTCCTCTGACTTAAGATTCCGTTGTGACCAGACATCATTGTTAGTTATCTATCTGTCTAATGAGATAAGGATTACCAAGGTAGGTTTAGAATAATAAAATATTATCTCTGTACACACAGTTGGCAGGGCTGACGGGCTTGGCGATTAAACCACCACCACCACCAAGCTCATACCATACACATTTTAACCTGTGCTCATGTAGTTTCTATATGCTTTTTTGAAACGGGTTGGGACGATAGCTATTCGCAAATTTAAGCTCCTCACTGTGTGTTCAAAAACAATTTATTATTACTCTTAACATACCTTGGTGGTGGTAATTCTATTATGGATAAAATTCTATTCTCATGATTAAGTCACACAGTATTTATTATGCAGTAACATTTACTGATGACCAACTTTCGAGCACAATTTTCATTATTGCTCATAATCATATCAAGTCAAGGCAGTAAGTACTCACACAATTCTCCTGCTTCATTTATATACATGAGTAAATATTGATGATTAGTCAGTTGAATAAAATCAATGTAAGATTCGGAAACAATATTAGTTTTCAAGAGTTCAGTTTCTAAGCATCAGATTTGTTTATACTTGATTCGTATTTTCTTTCAATTGTGAAACACTCCCGACTGACTGGATTTGACTTTCACACATCGGAAGAAAGTTCACCAAGACAATTTATACTGAATTACAATTTGACAATTCATATATATTCAACCAACCAACTGACAGATCATAAGAGAATATATAATCATCAGTGAGGATAGATAGGCTTGGTTGGTCGGGTCGGTTGGTGTCTTCAAAGCTAATGAAAAGCGGTTGACATTGTTGCTGTAGGCTGTATGCTGCCAGAAAACACTAGAACACTAGCACTTAAACATCTCAAAAATACTCACCAAATAGCAACATTACGATCGGATAAAGGTTTGACAGTTAGTTGTTCTAATCAATAAACAAGACTATATTGACGAGATGAACCTAATCCTACAAAATCCGGAAAAATTGATTGATTCAGTTTTAACATAGAAAATAACGCAAAAATGTAACATTTCAAATTTACACACTCCACCACTCCATGTAGCACACAAAAGAGACTACAGAAATGTAGCAGAAATGTACGGGAGAAAGAATTGCGACATGGAGAAATCACTAGGGTTTACTGGATATGCCAGATGGCAAACAGTGAATACACCCGCGACACTGAGGAGAACGATTTTCAGCCAAATATCCAATGGTCACCAACCATTGGCTCTTAATACTCCGAGGACTCAAGTGCGACAATCTACACATCACTATGTGGCTGGCTCAAAGTAATAGTCAAAAACGTCACAGACTATAGTCAGGTGTCGACTCAACCAACCAACCAACCAACCAAAATCCTTTTCCAACTTAAACTGATGTCAGCTAACATTCCTCTTCGACGAGGAAGGCGATGGTTCATCATGCCCAACACATGCCCTGGCCATCTCAATCGACATAACTTAACAACCTCATCGATGCACTTACCCCTCTTGCCTAACACTCTAAGATTAGTCTCATTAGTATTCACCATATTATACCACCTAACATGGGAAATACAATGCAAACACCTGTGGTGGTTGTCGATCGGTCATAGACAGCCAGCCTTTCTTCACATATGTCCCACTCTCAATAGTCATGTCTTACAGACATAGAGGAGGAGACAGCGAAGTACTGCGCAGTATACACGTATTTTGATCGATGGACAGATATCACGCAAGTTAGAGAATCCCACACCAGTCTCTTGTATCCGTACCGAGATTTCGTCGGCAATCAGATGCAACTTCTCAGATAAGTCGTTAAGTGGCCAAAACGCTGTACTACTTCACTCCCAGTATTTAAGCTTGGAATCGGTGCGGTGCGGTGCGGTGCGGTGCGGTGCGGTGCGGTGCGGTGCGGTGCGGTGCGGTGCAGTCCTGCAACATCCATTCACATATCAAAGGAGAGAATCACACGCCAAATATTCCGAGATTTCTGTCCAAAATGTTCACAAGACTCTGCATTTTGTCAGAGTCTTCACCTAGCAGGACAATATCATCCCCGTACAAAAATGGGAAGGGTGAGCATTCTTGATAGCCACCACCGACTGTCATCACTTCAGATGGAAAACTTCCACAAGAACTGACACCGCTGAGTCAGTTTGAATACAGTGCCTTGATCAGTGAGGTATACTTCCTTCCTTGGAACTCCTTCATTTCAAATGTGTATATGACATTCTTCAACACCTTCAATTTCTACTACAGCCTCCGAACACTAATTCGTCATCAGGAGGATAACATCACAGTCGCCTTTGTTTATACAAAAACCAGAAGTGCAGAAAATACTAGAATTATTCAAATAAATTAACTATGATGATGATACTCATTCATATGTAACCAAGGATAGATTCGATATTCAATTCTAGGTAAAATGAAAATCGAAGGCAGTTTTCAATCTTTCTGATTAATAGGTCTAGAATGAACACAAATATGTTGATGTATTCCTATATGATCATCCAGTCCGACTTCACTGCCTCACGCACCAAGTTTATCTTTCTAAAACTTAACCATATACCAATAAAAAATGCAACAACATTACCTCTTATTTACCTAAGGGTGAAATGTACGCCTTACAAGTCACGCGGGAAGTAACATCAGTAACAAATATGGACAACAAAAGGAGAAACTAAGTTCAATTCACTATCCAGTGAATAAAGAAGTGAGATAAGAACAATAAAAAAGCACCAACCGAACCTCATTACCAAAAAGGACGAACAAAGAAAACAATGGGTTGTTCACTTCAAAAACTCTTCAACTGACCATCACTTACAATCCATCCAGAGATACCACCAACAACCACAGAACAACTGGTCAGTGGATACCAGTCCTCCAACCAATGCACAAGTCTCCGATGCACTCAGGCTACTAAAAGTGGAGAAGACAACAGGACCACGCGGAGTTCTCTTCTGAGGCACTGAAAACAGATCACGAGACGACAGCTGATATCCTCACGACACTAATGCAAAGTGTTTGCAAGGAAAGAGGAGACCATCGGTAGAGTGGGAAATGACCATTTGGGCGTTCGACAGCGGCAACGAGGAAACCGCGTGCGGAGGAAATGAAAACTTATGGGCAATATTGAGGCCGGGTAAAGGCGACTGCAGAACACACGACAAAATGGAAATGACCTATTGAAGTTCTATACAACCAAGGGAATAACAATGTAAAATTCTTTTGCTAAAATCTCTTGGTTTAAGCACATATCAAAACACTAACAACAACAACAAACAATTTAACACTTACATATTTGTTTGCTCCGACTTCAATTGCGACCGGACATCATTTTTCGTAACCCTGTGACCAGTGCTGCTCTGGGAATTTTTAACTATAACTTTAGCTGGAATTTCTTCATCTAACATAATTACGTCATCATCGTCTCCTCCGTTACACTTCAAAGGAAAAAAATCAACGAATTACACAATGAAACCTTTCTTTGTAAAAACGAATTTTGATCAAAATGCTGACTGTATTCAATCACGCTTCATAATATTCAAGTATTCTAACAGTACATTTTCCATACTAACTAGAAGATGAAGATAGTCGAGAAACTCTCACTATAGTTTGACTGGACACTAGTAACTAGTGTTGTACATCTAGTCCTTTCTGTCTTGTGCAGACTGAATTCTATCAGTCAGGTTTGCAACGTGGCCACCATTCTAGGTAGCTCAACATCACGGTGCACGTTGATTTGACGATATCAGATGGTTGGAGGCAATCGCCAGTTACCAGTGTCCAATCTAACCATGCACTACAGTCTTACAGGAGGTCAATCGTCAGCCCGACTGCAACAATGGGTGACGCAGCATCGAATCTCAGAAGCGACCTGACTTCCTTCAAGGTTGCACACAAGCCTTCCTGACGACCAACTAGACAACTAGCACGAGGCTTCCAAGGCTTCCTGCCGATTGCTGCCAACCATCCAATATCATCAAACTCTCACTATTTTCTTGTTTAATCACACTTGCTGAGATCACATTACGCAACACTGGACAATTATATAATCACATTTTTTTTCTGTTAAAAAGAACTCTAATCAAATCTTTATGAGGAGTCCTCATCAGATCCGACGCATTAAAATGCATCTCATTTTATGCATAACAGTAAGTCTGAGAAGTCACGGTAATACAAAGAAAGAAAATTACTCACTTAAATATTCTTAGATGAAAATGGTGCCAGTAGTTTAAAAAACAACAACGCCATTCAAAACCATAACCACCTAGGGATTACGAGCACCACTTACATGCATGATGTTGCGGATATTCAGATCAACCGACGTTAATGTTCTCTTCATTGATTGGATCTCACCTGATTCAGAGGAAATTACCAAGACAAGAAATCGTCCAATTACTCAAGGAAAGCAGTGTTATCCTCAACAACGTAACAATGAAATAAATTATCCTACCTGAGTAAAAATTTTAAACAAAATAAACGACAGAGCAGAAACATTGAAAAAATCAAGCCGACAACCCAAAGGAAAACCGACAATATATATATACATCAAGTATTGGTTTTGTAGGGATATTTGTTAGATTGCATGGAGGATTTCATCATGAGCTAACATCAGTTAGAGGACCATTGGAAAACCTGGGAGTACTGGACAACCGATGAAGAGTCCCAAACTAGAATGAAACAGCCGTCCAGTAATGCCTGTCGGTTTTCCAATGCTTCTCTAACTGCTGTCAGCTCATGATGATATCCGCCAACCAGCCATTTAATTCATTATAAAAACAGAAGTGAACGAACAATTTGAAAGATTCCCAATTGTTAGTCAGATAGTTAGATCCACGTCAAGAACCAATATCACAGTTACAGAGATAATTGAGAGGCAGACAGGGAGCACTGGACAGCCGTTTCTGTCATCCTAATACGGTACTATTTAGCAGTGTGAACCCACGACAGTTTGGAGAACCGAACCCTGAACCTCCGTGTTTGCAGTCCAAGCTGCTTACAAAACAGCTGTCGAATACTCCCCGCCTTTCATTAACCTCTCGAACTCATGTTTCTTCCTGACACGAATATAAGAATTGAAACCAACCCTAAATTTCCACAAATCTGGATTAGGAAAGAACTAAACACTGGAATAGAATAAGAGACTCAAAACAAAACCTTCAGCATTCTGGCTTCGGAGTTATATTGATAAGTCGGGAGCGTCTTCGCCATATATATATATACATACATACATATATATACAGAAACTCCAACCCGTGTTAAGCACCGTCCTGTGACCTCAATCACTGTATACAGATAGATTAGGTCCAGTCCCTTATTAGTCCATGGTCTTCACCTCGCTTGCGGTCGTCTCCGAGGGCGCACTATGAAGAGTACCAAACTAGGACGAAACAGCAATCTCGCAATACTCCCAGGCTACCAATGGTTCGCTAACCGATTTCAACGCATGATGAAATCCGCCAACCAACCAATTAATTAATTCACTGTTATCACTCTTCGATATTCCTTCCTTGTGTACACTTTCTCATTTCATTCACATCTGTCAAGTGTACACTCCACTCACTATCAGCTTACTTTCTCAACGAATAACAATTTTTTCACCTTATCTAATCGAACAACCTGCTCTTCAGTTGTGTCATTCAGGTATCATGTTGTTTTTTTCTCACTTTGATTTATTTTAGAAACTACTTTTGAGTAAGCTTTGAGCTAATCGTGGGGCCAGTTAACGAGCATAGAGGAGAGCAGGACAAATATGGAGATGTACTGCTGAAGACCCATGCTCACCACAGAACCAAACGGAATCTAAATAACAACAATTGTGGATGTGTAAAATATCAGTTAACGACAAGTGTGACCTAATATAAACAACCTCCCTACGATTACATTATCATCATCATCATCATCATCATCATCATATAAAAATGAAATGTCATTCTACTACAGAAAAATATACCCAGTATAGTGAGTCATCTAGTGGGGTCGTGTAATAATCGCAATGAAAAAGTGAAAATACAAAACGCAATTAATTATCCATCGAGCAAAGACAGAAACACTCACTTCCAACTGGATAAACTCGTCCACCGTAGATTGATTAGTCCTGTGATTTAAATTTGAACAATATATCGCGGTATAATGACTTGAAGAGGATTTTGGTTCTGTGATTGTTGAATATATATTATTAGTAGAGTCAGTATCTACTACCAGAATAGTAGTAAGCAATCCGACGGATTCCTGTTCACGTACAATAACAGAGCGGTCATATCGTGACACTTTATATAGTATTTTTTCATTTACGGCTTTCACACTTCCTATTGGTGAGATCACATCATGTGATGATCCAGTCACCTCGGTCCTACTATCCCCCCTATCATGCATATTATTTTACACTAGCCAATCACATGATAGAGTACACGACCTTCAAATGACAAGGCCATTTGCCTATCACACATTCTCTTCCAATCATGGATTAGAGAAAATCAGTCTGCCCGATCGACATCCCCTTGAATAGGTACTCCTATTCATGTTCTTACTGTTAGAAAGTATATTATATTATGTATAATATCCGGTCCATTCTTGATCACAGTTCATACGTATATTAATATTAATATATAACAATAGCCAGTTATCTTTTTATGGTTATATTTTTATATAGAATAACAGATTAGTTATGGGATGACCAAAAGTGCTGGGCTGAATGCAATCAAAAAACATTGTGATATGGTGGTGACATAAATACATAAAAATATCCTCCAAGCAATAATAACAACCTAATAGAAAAAAATGGAGGGCAGGTAAAACTGACTCCTCAGTTGAAGGTTGTAAATTGTGTCAATTCAGTGGCTAGTACAAAATAAAATGAATTTGAGAGAAGATAGTAAGACGTGACATTTGACTGGGACAGATTTGACCGCATGGATTGGTGGATAGCTGTTTCGTCTTAGTTTAGGACTCTTCATGGGTACTCACTTACCGGGGCAAACCTTGTACCTTCTATGTACTAGGTGTGCTCGTACACCATTCATTCACTGGGAACTGATCCAGTGGCCAATTCACGAATAACAATTTCTGCTGATCCATGATATATAACGAAGAAATACGAGTCATTGTCATCGGATCTACCCACATAACAATGCACACGCTTGTATGGAAAACCCACTCCCACTAGACACTATACTCACTTCCTGAGCTTCGAACCACTGCATTACAAACGTAAGCCGATAAGATGTCTGGTTCGCCGAGCTACATTCGTGATCTACTAAGTAGAAACGAATATCCGACTAAATTCGTGGACAAGTACTTGAACTCAGAAAGTAAGAAGTCAAAGTTGACAACTGTACCCAAAAATTCAATCTTCCCAAGATTACAATTCATGGGTGATGTCAATAGCGAGATCTTACCACAATGTCTGAGAAGGGCCTTGAAAAGAACTTTCAACGAAATTAAGCTTTGCTGTATATTCACTAGGCAACCAATATTCAGTTCAAGAATTGAAGACAAACTAACCTTGTGTATTTTTCAGTTTAACTTTCCGTGCGAAGCTAGTTACATAGGGCATACGATCAGCCAAGTTCATAGAATCGTCGAATTTCTGAACACCTCCCATCTTGGTTTGGCAAAGGTCCGAATAAAGCTGTTATATGCAGCTCAATACTAGCTCATCTCGTCGATACTGACTGAACATCAAATCGACTCTAACAAAATCTTGCTAGTTTTTACGAGTTGATCACGGATTAATATGAGTTAGAGAACCATTGAAAACTAGTACTGGAGTGCTGGACAGCTGTTTTATCCTAGTTTGGGAATCATTGGCAGTACTCACCTTCTGGGATTAATTTTTACAGTGCTAGCTAATTCTATTAACTTGTTTGTATTTTACGTAATTCTTCCTAGTCATCATTGCTATTTTACAAATTTCTTGATTATGTAATAATTTGTTTCTAACGCCTAAGAATTGACGTTTCTTGAATTCCGTAGTTATATTCAACCCTCCTTCCCTAGAAACTTAGATATCTTATTAGCGACATCTATTAGTTAATTGATGTTCTGATGACTTTCAACCTCTTAATTTTATCACCCTCCGCTTATACTTAGAACTGATGGACTAAAATAACCCCTAGATTGGTGAAACATTTTGATGTAAAAAGCGACTATATATTAGTGTAGAGCCAGTGGATGATGAGGAAGTAATTGAAAAGGAATATATTTCTCAACTCAACATGTTTCTTTTTTCTCTATATATGCTTGATATCACTATCAACTGGCTCTACGAATGCCCACACGCTTTCATTTTGCTCTCCGCATAATCTTCTCCAAGTTCCCTTCGTACTCATGGCCAATTCGTCACTTCCATTCGGTTTCCACTCGATCGCCTAACAACTAACGTGTTATATCATGCAACGGTCTTCTCAGCGTATGTCCAATCCATTCATCTCCCTATTAGTTCTGCATATTTATCAGCTGGTTCACTATCTGCCAGAATACCATACCATTAGGATTATCCTATCTGTCCGACTATGTGATCTTCGATATCTAGAGAACTCAGGTGTTGGTGAAAGTCAGTAGCGGTGAACTGATGGAGATGTTTCTGGTGACTCATGTACCAATTCCCTGAACCATACAGAAACATTGACTAATTTAAAAATAAAAGGTAAATACTCCGATCTTGTTCCATCTGCTACACACACTTAATATATCGTAATGAAAGACTGATATAAGAACAGACCACCTTGATCCATGTGGTTGGGTAGGTATAATTCCACCAAAGAGTAAATTTGTTTGATACAGTTTCACAGTGTTATACATTAATATTACTTACTGACGACCACGTTTCCATCACAATCTTCATTACTGCTCATAATCAATATCGAGGCTCTACTCACACAACCCCTTCTCACTTTGTGCATAATAATTCCATTATTTTTCGTCACTTGATTTGATGATTGGTGGTAGTAGTAGTGTAATAACAGAAGACAGGGGTCAGGCATCAGGTCGTTTATTAAGGAAAATCAACACATATTTATAGATTTTATTGTACATTATTGTAGATTATTGTTAGTAGAAAATACAGTCTTTTGACTGGTTGTTTCTCACAGAAAGTTAACCATGCATCTCTTTGTGGCTGTGTCAGATCATCCATATGCTAACTGTATCCGCCTACGCAAAGCCTTTGTTCTCATTTTCTCACCACCAATATTGGCGACATAAACATTGACGTCAATTACTGTCTACCAACTTTGGCTAGCTAGCAGCCAGCTCTCATCACAGTAGTAGCGTTTTGCATATCTCTGGTACTAGTGGTGATGAGTCATTCCTATTGCTTGTGTTGTGTTGGGTGTAGATTAT